CTGTTGGAATATTTATAGCCCTTTGCCAGCCACAAGAAGACATTTCAAGTGAGGTGTAGTGCTAATGACAGACCAGCTGACTGAATTTCTTTCTCCACAGAACTGGCATAACAAGAGAAGTGCTAGCTTCCCCATGCTACCTAGACAATGTACTTCAGCCCTCATCTGCAGAGCAATTCAGTCTCCAGGCTCAACAGCCCCTCAGCTCTCTGTCAAGATTATCAACAGAGTGAAAAGTAGTGCCAGTTGTGATAGTGGACAACTGCCAACTAGGAACCACAGTGAGACCACTATACCTATTTCACATAGGCCAGCAAGCAGCCAACAACCGGCAATAACTGTTGGATCTGGGCTGGCTTCTATCCAGCCACCCTAAAGTCACAAATCCCCTGAAATTCATCCCCCTTTAAACTGGGATTTTATGTTTAACATCTATTTAGTATTTGTTTGTTTTTTTAATTCTGTTAGCTATGAGTGTATTTTGTCCCTTGCCATTAGTTATTCTGACTTCTCAACTAAACCCAGAAAGGCAGGAAATCAGTCTAAAACAGGCCCTTTGGGATTTCCTTTGGCTCTGTTTTACCTTGCTCTTTATTCTACAAGTGCTGACTTACAGAAATCAGATGAGAGAGATCAGCCTTGTTCACACTTGGATGAACTTCACTTGTCTGTTCCTCATTTTGAACTTGGAACTGCACAACAAAGAACCATCAATCCCATTGGTCTTTGGCACAAAGAGGTGTCTGCAGGCAAACCAAATCTTTCTGAACTTTAACAGTCGGAGGTTTTCAAATTTGGTAAGATTTACTGTAAACTAATTAAATATGGAGCATTTATTTAACCATATGGTATAATAAAGAACCTGAGAACTAGAAGATAACATAAGTAATCAGATCAGGTTGCAAGTGCTATGTGAGGCCTATTTATTTTCCATTCTTGCCCAACGGCTCCTCCCCTCGGAGAGGGCAGGAGGTAAGAATCAATCGGGCAAAACAGAGTAGAATGGGAGCTTGTGATGCAACCCTATGATTGGGACATCGTAAACTCCAGCCTCCGTTTCCCCCCGCCCAACATAATCGCATTAGTTTAGTTTTGCCTGATAGCCTCTCTCTTCGGTACTGTGCTTATGTCTTTTCAAACGTTTATTCGAATTACTGTACAGATTCTGGAGTAAGCCAGTCCCCTTTGGGAAAACAAAGTTGGGATCCAGTAAATGCTACAGCCATCGACTACAAACCGGCATTCATTCTTGCAATGGACCTGCGGAGAGCAGATAAGGTGCTACGGACACCATTCTTCCTTTTTTTTTAAAAAAAAGGGAGCTTTTAGAAATATTGGCCTTTTTGGTGGTGGCAACAAAAAACGTGCAAAGGATAGAGTATTTTCTACTCTTCCTTGTCTCTGTCTCTTCTCTGTCTGAACTCTCGCTGACCCTGCTCTCCTCGGAAGTCTTTGGATAGGATAGAAGCTCTCCACGCCCCTTTTAAAAGGTTAAAAGTGGAGTTGGGGAACCAGAACTTGCTGCACTCCTGCTAACTGCCAGTTCGGTCAGTGATGATTTTGTGTGATCAACGCGAGCAGAATCTGGCTTTGAATGAGGATGGGATCTTGCTAAGGCAAGACAACATAACTTGGAGGAGATCAGATTTACTCCTCCCTCGAGGTGTAAATGTGAAGCCACCGTGTGTTTTCATACGTGTGTTTGAATGGGCAGGCGAGAGACTTTCAAGTAGTTCCCTTTGGAAAAGGAAATATATGTCAGGGATTCCGTGAAGTTGTTTCGCTTTGCATATGTGTAGATGTCAGTGTTTTTCAAAGCAGGGTGCATTGCCATATCAAAGACTTCTGGAGGAGAGAGCGGAGGTCATTGAGAATGCGTCCATCCTGGAGACCCTTTGAAATACCGATACATCACTGTGGGTCCTCTGTTGTTTTAACCGAGAGCTAATTAGCATTACGCGGTTGAAAAACAGATGGGCCCAATACATAAGAATAATATTGAAAACATTACATTGAAAAGTGTGACGTAGTTTTCCAATCGGGTTATTTTTTAATTTCTCCATACTCTTAAAATCCGTGAGATTTGGTTAAAAGGGATCTCCACAAAACGTATCTTGAATGTGTTCGGAGTTCACTATTACTAGGGTTCTGCTTTTATGGAAGTGATTGCTTTTGGATGACTGACTTTTCAGTAGTCATTTTTATCAGGAGAGGATTATGCACTTATTTCCCAGCGGTTTAGGCTTTTTTAAATAGGATTGTGATGTCCTGGGTAATTAAACTATTTCATCCATGTGGATTGATACTGGGATGTTTTTCAAATGTTTCTAGTTCAGTGATTTACTAGAAAAAACAAGTGGAGATTCCCTAGCATGAGTCTCACTCTTGGTTCCATTCGAGACTGAAGGTCATCCATTGAACTTCTGAAACAAGAACATGCACGTGTTCCTTTTTACTTCAACTTTCTTTTGTGATTCTTGACTTTGGAAGTGTGAATGTGGCCCCTTGCGCCCGTTTGATGTGCGGATCCCCTACTGTGAACCCTAAAAGTTTTTTTAAAATTAAAACTACCCTATTTGCAAACTTCTGTAGGCTTTTGCACTGTAAAGGTGGGAAAGAGGCAATATGTGCCTCTTGTTTTTGTCATCACAGTCAGAATCTTTTTTTAAACCCCTGACCTCGGAAGAGGGACAAAAAGCATTGTATTTACTGTTATAACTTGTCAAACATACTGAAGTAAAGTCTGACCCTGGCAGAAGGCATAAAAACAAGACAGTAATGATGCTATTACCGTTCACCAAAACCTTCCCACATCCATTTCACTCAAATCCGTTCTGTAGCTATGTATTAATTTTGACTACTTTTCAGCTCTGAGTGATTTTGTATTTTATTTTTCAATAAAAACCAACAACCATGCTCTAGCACTTAATTAAATTCAGAATTATTCAAGACAAAGCCTGTTGTTCACAAAATATAAATACAATACAAATCCGGACACAGCGTTGATAATTCGGAGTTTTGACATTTAACAGGTCAGTTAGTCCTTATAGTACTGGAACTATATGAATGATGATTGTTTCCCCCGCCCATTCAGGCACATTGAAAAGTAGGAGCAATTTAAAATACCTTGTAGTGCAAATGTTAAACTTCTCTGTCAGTGCAGAAACTCAACTGAACCAGCCAGTTTGCATTTTCTTTGGCTCTCTTACTAATAGAATAATACTCCCTTAACTTATTTTCGTTGCATATATATTACTAAGCTGGAGGACTCTCCGTGGTCTTGTTTGACCTTTAAAACTGACACAGGCACTGCGTGTGCCGGCTACTTTACCAAAAAATTCATAAGGCCAATGAGGAAATTAGCAGAGTGTTTTGACTGACAGCTTTCCCTGATATACCCATCAATAAAATGTAAACAAGTTGCAATAACGAGCACTTGTATATTGTTACAGTCCGGCATAAAAAAAAAATCAGCTACATAATTCCTTAGGTAGACACAGCCCAAATATTTCATTGGCAGTGATAGCCTTAGTGAAATGATTATTTTTTGGCTCGGGTTGTGCAGGATTAACACTGTTGCGATGCTTTATGCATTCTTTAAAATGTCCTTCCTTTCCTCGCAGGTAGCTGTCACAACAGCTGGCACTGCAGCGATCAGCAGAAGTCTTTGGCAGGAGAGGAGGGTACAGAATTCCTGCCTGACTTGGCGGGGCTTTGCGCGGAGGGGGATCCGGCAGGTGAAGGGATCAGCAGCCCTTCTCTTTCCCGTTTCTTTTGTTTCATTCTTCTGTTTTGGAACCAGATTTTCACTTGAGTGTCATTAAGGCGGAGCGAGTGCGCGATCTCTACGCGGCGGGCCCGGGTGAGGTACTTATTGAAATGAAACTCCTTTTCAAGTTCTGTGAGCTGCTTGGTGCTGAAATGGGTCCGCACGGTGCTGGGGGGGCTATGCACCCCATAGGCGGAGAGTTTGCCTGCAACACAAAACGTTTGTTCAGTAGCAATGAGAGCTGGGTACAGCGCAAGGGAGCCGGTTCTCTGGGCATTAAGCTGGCTCCAAAGGCGAAGAGGTAACGCTTTGCATGAACGTCTCACGCGGGCGTTCATTGCTCACGGGTATTTGAGGCGAGAGAAGGAAACAATAAGTGGCCCTACAAGCGATCCCATCCTCGTTTCGCTCTTAGCGCTTAGGGCGCGCCGCTCTCCTCCTCCATAAGCGCTAAGAGCGAGTTGTGCCCAGGAAGCCCCCTCGCCGAGGTTCACACTTACTTTTCTTGGGCGCATTTCTTTTCACTTTCATCCACTCGAAGGTGCCGAGCGCGCCCCCTGAGGCCGGAGAGGTGGGCTTGGGGTAGGTCCCCGGGGAGGGGGAGACGCTCTGGAAGCCCCCGGGCTGGACGCCAGGCGGTTCTTTGAGGCAGGGGTGGAAGTGGCTTTGCTCGACCAAGGCGCTGTAACCCACCGGGAGCGGCGATCCGCTGCCGGAGAAGATGGAAGTTGCATAGCGCAGGTGGCCCCCGCCAGCGTCCTCCAGCTGGGCACTGGCTCCGTAGGGCAGGGCGTAGCCTGAGCTTGGGGGTAGGACGTTGAAGTCAGCAGCAGGTGGACCGGAGTCGTAAGCCCCCGCCAGAGCGCAGGCAGCAAAGCGAGAGGCCGTGGTTGGCCGCGGCTGCTGTGCTGTGAGCTGGGGCGGGCCGGGCGCAGTCCCGGCGCCTGGCACTAGCCGGCTGCCCAGGTACGCGCTCTCCCCGCCTAGGGGGCACGAGGGCTGCAGGGCGACGGCGCTGGGGTCTGCAGGGCAGAAGCTAGGCGGGGCGCGCAGGGCATCGCCGCGAGACAGGTACTCCAGGTAGGAGTTCATGTCCTGGCGCGGCTCTGGGCCAGCGGCCGGGGGCGCGGGACAGGAGCCCGCTGCTGCCCGCGGATGCTGCCCGGGCCGCTCTCTGGACCTGCCCTCCTCCTCCCAGAGCCATCGCAGCGGCGGAGGTAAATATTGTCCTAATATAGAGCCAGAGGGCCGGCACGTGCCGCCCGGTGGCCAATCGTAGCCCTCCGTGGAGAGCCCACCTCAAGGATGCTGGGTGCTGTTAGCTGCCTTCTGCCCCGGCGCAAACTTTGCCAAGGAAGAAGCGGGCTGCGGCGCACAGGACCCGGGGAACCTCGCGGCGCCTGTAGGGTCAAGGAGGCAGCGCCTGGCATCGCCCTGAGCCGACCCGGGCTGCCCCCGCAGAGGTGCGGGGACAGGGGAGGGAGCTGAAGGTGAGACTGGGAGGGAGGCTCTGGCCACTGGGCTTAGCTCGGCAGAATGGGGTAAAGGCGGCTGGTGCAGAACACAGGCGGCCTCTCCAGCGCGCCCCAGGGACAAGTCGCCTGTTTTCATGTGGTCTGAGTCTTACCCATTGCCTTGCACCCCCCGCTATAATCCTGATTGTGGTTATAGGACTCCAGGGAGCCCGACTCGGTACCGGTCTGCAGTTTTAGTTCGGGAGGTAAAGGGGGCTGGCAGTTCCCCAAACTGAAATCCCGGTCACTTTGAGCACTGCCGGGAGGCTTTCACGTGCAAAATAAATGCTCGAAAAGCCTTAGTCCCTACGTTAATGTACCTGGCCAAACCTAGGTCGACTGTTCCAACCGTTTAGGTGGGATAGAACAGTAATGTTTGATGTATTTCAGTGGAAGGCGGAAGTTTCTTGTACGTTGTAGTGTATCATGTATCTTAGAGGTGTTCCTAGGTTTCTCTTTGCAGTTTAATCTATCCTTGCTTGCAATAAATAGCGAAAACTGTCTTTTGCCAACTTTGTGGTATCTCATCCTCAGCTGTACCTGTGTTTCCTCTCCGAGAGGTGCTTCATTTATGCAGATGAGTTTTCTAAGAAATCCGAGGTTAAAATGCATCCGAAAGACAGTTCAAATCTGGGTGGGGTTCCATGTTACTGCACGTCACAGCAATTAATGGACCTGCTCCATCAGATAAGTGCTTTGTAGTCTCTTGAAAGTGAATCCGAGGGCTCACACTGTTAATGGGCTCTCATGTTCCCCAGGGTGATACAATAGTGTTTACTAAGTGTTTATGACTGGCACAGAAATAAATACAAGGAAACAGGAAAGAGATTAGAGTAAATCTCACTGCTCTACCAAACTTTCTAACTTTGTAAACTTCATTTCCCTTGGGCAGAAGGGAATTCATCTGATGAAGGGAAAGATTAGACTTCACAAGGCAAGTGATTGTGTTTTCGTGAAGTGTTACAATGAAAATAACTACACGCTAAAAAGGCAAGTATTTTAAATATTTTGAGTATCCTTGGAGTTCAAGACGCATGACAGAAAAGGTGTCACCTGTCATGTAGCCCATGGGAGGAAAGGGAACGGAGCTACAGTTTAAAGTTTTGAAATATGCGTCCTTCTCTATAAGATAAATCTACACAGTTCAGAGGCAGACTCTTAAAAGAGAGGGGGAAAGCACATTCATAATTCATCCCTACTCTCACCCCAATACAATAATACACTCCCCCTCGGATACATACACCTCCCATAGAATACTCAGTTCTACCTAAGGTCCTATCCTGTCTTCAGTTAAAAGGGTGCAACTCCCACTGAAGTCATGTAATCGAAGCAGAATCGGGTCCTACCCCGGAGATTTTTCATGGGGCTTAGAGTTAAGGGGTCATGCCTAAAACTGACCCCTTGCTTCTGACACAAATGATGACCTACTCCCCAAAGCAGCAGAGCCACCTGCAGCTCCCACGAAACAAAGTTGCAAACTTTTATCCTAGTGCTCTCAGTGGAAGTTGTAGACACCCAGGCCCAATCCTGCATTCCATACCTTGATGAAAGAAAAGACTGCATTAAAGAAGGCAGGATGGGGGACATGGTCTTAAAAAAGGAAATTAGTAGGGCAGCACAAGTGAAGCATTTAATAAGAAATAATAATAAACAAAGTTTAAGGTTATGAACTCCTGTTAGACATTTTTGCCATTGCTTATGTCCACTGAAATGTTTAGCCAACTTCAGCCCTTCAAAATGAGGACTTTATTACTTTCTCTTGAATAACAAGGAAAATTTCTGTGATTTGCAGCAACAACCCAAAAGAGTTTGTCTGCCCCCCCCCTTAAAGGCCCAGTATCCATTCACCCGTCCTAAATAAAGGGTTTGTTCAGTAGCTGGCCATTTTAACAGTAGAACACTTAGGGCTCTGCCCCATTCTCTCACAAATCTTTGCTTTTGAGCTTTCAACTCAACCACAGTTGGGGCTGAAATTTATTTAACGTTAGTTTTGCCCTTTTCTAATGCACAGATGGCAGAAAAACAGAAGTGTTTTGGATGATATTTTTCCTACATCAACATGTTATAAAATAAAATATAGCAGGGACACTGGACCACTATGTTGATCAATGCTTTTGTGGTGCAGTTAAATCAAGAGTTACTGAGGTTAGAAAAAAGATCAGTGTCTACACAACTACATTAAAACCAACCAACCAAGTTTTTGATTACTGGGAACACAGATTCGTGGATTAGATTTTCCCTGAATACCCATTGACAGTCGTCTTTTAACAGTTACAAACTATGTTGTCAGTGATTCACCATAATGGGAGTCTCATATTTCAGCCTGCAGCGAATCCAGCTATGAACTCGATCATTATGATCCCAGAAAAAAAATGTATTTAACCAACTGAGGCCGCCAGCTGATGTGTGGTCAGGAAATTTAGTTTTTGGCTTTGTGTCCATTTAAATCCAGACTATGGTGATAATGAGGGTCAACACACCAGCCTGGTATAAACTTTCCAGGCATAGTTCACTGAGATCAAAACAGTTTGGGGGGGAAAGGCATTTTCATTGGAGTCGGAGGTGCTCATCAGCTCCAAGCAAGCACAAGGTTTTCTAAAAGGGGGTTGTCTGGAAAAGAATCCTGGGAAGTTCAGGGCTGGAGAAGGGAATCTTACAGCTGGGGGGGAAAGGAAGTGTCAGTAGGGAGTGCTAGGGCGGCTAAGAGCGTGGATTTGGGAAGCCACTGGGCACACAGTTTCTGTCGGGCTTATTGACTATCTGGCAAAGCCCAGAGAAGGCCGTTTGGGTGAAATCCTGGCATTTGTCCAGAATAAGTGGAATCTGGCCGGCAAGTGCGCTATTGCGCCACTCGCGCAGAGAACTAGCTTAAACCGAAGTATGTTAGCAGAAGGTGTGAACAATGGCGCCCGTCCTCTTCGCAAACAAGTCACTTAAAGGAATTCACTCCAAAGCCAAGTTGGAGTCATTAATATTAACATAAAATAAGAAAGTCTGACAAATAGTTGGAGTGAAGGCACTTATTTGAAAAGCATTGGCACTGCTCAAACACGCCTCCACTGAAGTCAAAGGTAGTTTTCCCAAGTAGAGTCAGAGTACTTCCGAATTTGACCCATTTGTCCTTTTGTTCATTCTCCTTCATTTTTTTTCCAGGATAACTGTTTCAATCCTTTTCTCCAGAGTAAAGCTTACATTTTCCAGGTACCAAGAGAGATGTTTTCCTTGCCCTGTCATCCTTGATGGTCCTAATATCATAGCCTATATTGACACTATGATTATTTAAATGTGACCTAGAAAAGCGCTGAGGAAATTTTACACCACACTAGCGTAGATACAATAGATTCTCCATGAAACCTAGGAAGCCCTAGTCCAGATATGCACTTGGATTCTCCCACCATACTGTTTGATATTTTATTTTTACAGATAAGTTGTTTATTAGAGACAGTTACTGGTGAATCTAGATCTATACTGTGTCATACACATTCTCATTTGAAATTACTCTGGAGAATATGTTTTTCAAGTGGCTCTCCAGGAAAATTGACCATGTACATTTCATGAGGGTAGATATGAAAAGCTAATGATAAATATTTCAGCAGCATTTGCCGATATTCTGAGTTGTTTATTTTGGAAAGTTTTGGATAAAGTAAGGACTGCATTTGGATAACTGGCATTAGCAAAAATGAAGTCATCCTAGTGGAATCCAAATTCAGCTCCTGGGAAAACATGGGCACACTGTGGAGGCAGATCACTTCTTCAGATTGAGGAAGGTGCATCATTCTCCCTCGGCTGATCTTTGGAGCAGTTTTGATAGGCGTTGGAGAGGATTTTGCCCCCCGTGAATGTGATAGTGGAAAATGAAATGGGGAGACTAACGGAGAACCTCCCACCCATAGACGGAAAATCTGTCTTCACGAAGTATCCTGTTATGCATAAATAGGGAAAGTCCCTGTAATTCTCATCAGCGTCACTGAAATAAAACCTAGGCTGCTGACACGGAGTCTTCGCTTTCCTTTATCATGTTAGGTGGACTCTATAAACATCTGTAGGAAAGATTAAGTGGTGCAAATCCAATGGCTTAACGACGTGGGAAAGTCCTGTTAGCGGAGCGCAAAGAGGCAAAGCATGACTCTGCAGCACCCTACTTCGGTTTACTCTTTCCAGGACTCCTTAAATAACTCCACTACTCCAGAGGCCTTAAGACACTCCCCTGCTGAATCGGTTTATATTACTAGTCACACCAACACTCAATTCTGGGGCTTCTCCCCTTCACCCAGACGGGAATCCTCCATTCTCTCGCCTTCCTACCCAGCCTCTTTTCCCCCTGGTGTCTCAACACAGACTTGGGCTTCTCCTCTTTCCCCCAGAGGGGATTCAAACCTTCCAACTACATCCACACTCTTCCCTACTTTTGGGAAGCCACTCCCAGGCTACCTGGTTAGTAGATTTCGGTCCCTGACAGGCCAGACTCTCCTACCGCCTTCTATTCGCCATAGCCCTAGAGAAGCCGTCTAACGTCACTGTACCACGCCGGTCTCCTCTCCTGTTTCCTTCCTACTGCCTTAACCTTCTTCTTCCATCCATCCCTTCCCCCTTTATAAGGCCCAGGTGCTTTCCCTTAAGCCCAACTGGACAGCAGGTAACCAGTCACAGGTGCACTCGACTCCACTCCCCCCTTAAAGGCACAGGTCACCCTGTGACAGGGAGACAATGCAAAATCTCACTTTACAATTGTCAGTTAACACACACACGCGCCAATTTGTTGGATTGGTCCTACATTGACAAATTCCTTTATTTTATGTTATGTCAAAGAAACGCCACAAAGTACTTTAGGCTGATCAGAGCGAAACCCCGATTTAGATTCTGGGACTCACCGCAATACCTCAGGGCCTGCACCCCTGCGGAAGGTTTTTGTTGTTGTTGTTGTTGTTAATTACTATAACAGTTACGTTTATTTTCAAGTCCAGTTACAATTTTTCCACCAGGGAGCTTGCTAGGCAAAAATAGAATTAAATAATTGACTAATTAATTGACTAATTAAGTGTTTTAACTTCGGTACATGAATGTGAGCCCCTTAATTAAGTAGCCAAAAGTTTGGGGGCTTTATTAAGGGAAACGTTTTAGTTAAATCGTTTGTGCTAAATCCTTCTGGCTTAATTCCAGATTTGTTTTTATAGGTAAGATGGGAAGCAGGAAAATATGAGCCAATGAAGATGTCCTCAGAGCTATCACTTAGAGCAGTGGCTCTCAACCTTTCCAGTCTACTGTACCCCTTTCCAGCCTACTGTACCTCCAAGTTTCACCTCATTTAAAAACTACTTGCTTATAAAATCAGACATAAAATACAAAAGTGCCACAGCACACTATTACTGAAAATGGCTTACTTCCGCATTTTTACCTTATTATTATAAAATAAATCAGTTGGGATATAAATATTGTACTTACATTTCAGTGTATATAGAACAGTATAAACAAGTCATTGTCTGCTTTAAATTTTAGTTTGTACTAACTTAGCTAATGCTTTTCATGTGGCCTGTTGTAAAACTAGGCAAATATCTAGATGACTGGATGTACCCCCTGGAAGACCTCTGCGTACCCCCCAGAGGTAGGCTACCCCTGCTTGAGAACCACTGACTTCATAGAACCTATAATGGCTTTGAATCGAAATAAGGTAGACAAAACCCACTTGTGTATTGCCTTCAGGGGCAAAATTACCGGGGGCAGGGCGGGAGAGGCACAAAGTCTGAGGAGACTGTTATCCCGACCAGAGGGTCACTTTTTTTTTTTTTTTTTTTGTGACTAACGGATTCAGTTGCATCCTCCCTGCTGGAAACTGAATGCCGAGCGTCAGCCCGTGAATATTAGATTGCGGTGTTCTGAGCTTCGGTTTCTGTCTCCTCCGGCTGCGGTTTCTGGTCGAATCCCAGCTGGCCCAGACTCGAGCTGAAGTAGGAGGAATCGCTGTCGAGTGAAGAGTGCACATTGTGTGATTGATGAACTCCCCCCCCCCCTTCCTCCCCCGCCAGCCCCGCTCCCAGCAAGGACCGCAGCCTTCCCACTGCAACTGCTCACTTGGTAATGGAGAGTTGTTGCCTGTTCAGTGATTAACTTGATATCTAGTCTCCAGAAGTGTCATGGGCCAATGTAACTCTGGGCTAGCCGATCTCACGACTTTTAAAAGTATAGGTTGTGGGTTCATAAATATATAATAGCACGTGGTCCTAGAGCCAACCAACACTGACCGCTAATTGTACACGTAGAAGAAACGGGCTTTTTGTGCCGCCTGTCTGCCACAGAGCTATTGTTCCTGGCGAGGCATTTCAAACGTTCCCTTGGATAGCCCCAGCGTTACTGCAGATAACAAACACGGTGAATGTGAAAGCTGTGCAGATCAGTTCTTCTGAGACTATAGAGTATTTGCAGTGGCTTTCATTGTATCTTATTATTGGCAGTCTTTGGAAATATAAAGAGGCAGGAACTAAAATTGAGTGTCGTTGTCTCTTTTCTTCTTCTTCTTCCAGCTTGTATTTAACTGCTCAGACATCTTTCTTTAACAGCAACAGATCCAAATTAGTCTGTTGCAGAATTTGAACCATAAGGCAGAATTTCAACAATTTGCATATTGCAGAACGTGGATCAGCCAGGGCCAAATCACGCTTGAGCTCAGCGGATTCAGTGGAACTATTAGCATGAGTCCGGAGAGCAAGACTGGGCCCTCACAGGGACCCTTTTTTGCTATATGTTCCTGTGTTCGTGTTTAATTCTCGCTGAATTAAACTTTTGCTCGTGAATCAACCTTCCAATCAATGTCAGATGGTTTCCTTGGTTTTCCACCGGGCTGCCTGAGTGCAAGGAAGTCTGCTTTGTGCGCTGGTTTATTACTTACAAACAATTCACTACCGGGGTTTTAAAATTAGCCGCCTCTCTTTAGCCCCTTCTACATCAATAACTTTTGCAGGGTTTTACAGCGATTTACATGCCAGCTCTGCAACCCTGACCTTATTGGCACACTCTTAATAGATGGATTTTTAAGACTGTTTGTTTGGCAGGGTTGTCTCCCTCCAGCTTCCTCTTTATGTTGCTGCTGTGCAAATGGTTTGATATTTATTTTACCCTGACCCCTCCTGCTATTTTAACTCCATTCGCCAGAACTTGCCATGTCCATCCCTTAGACCTGAGTCCGTGCCAGAACTGCTGCAGCCTTTTCAGAGGGTTGCGATGTCTGTTCCAGCATCAGAGATGCCAGTTCCAGCATTCCACGGGGCCTTCGCACTGAAAAGGAACGGCAGCTTGCAAGCCAGACAGTGCCCAAACGTAATGCGGGGGTGGCAGGATGGCTTTGAAAAGCCAGGGCTTTCAAAGCTGGAGAGCTCCCGCCAGTTTTAGTGTGCGGCTATTACTGATGCGTTCTTCTAACGAGCGTGCTAGGGAGCTAATCATAAACACATCGGAAGGAGACTCAAAGTATGATGAACCCTGCAACTGTAGACATTTTAGTTCTATTTCTAAAACAGATACAAGCGCCAGACACCGGTTATAAAATCATCCAGGGGGGAAATAAAGTTCCCCGCGTCACCTATGTGAGAGAACTGCTTCATGCATTATTTCTTTTTCTATGGGCTTGCATTTTATTTTCCTGTTGACCATTGTAAGACGCACTACCAAATACAAACAGAAGGAAAGGATTTCCAGAAGAAGAGGACTACGTGACAAACAGAATACCGGGATATAAAGAATACCACTTCCACATTTATTTCCAAACAACAATTTACAGGAATTGTGCCTATAAAATATTAAAGTAAATGATCTAGAGCTATTAGCACAGAGATTATGACAAAGTCCCCAGCCAAAAGGCAGGATATACAGATAGGTATTTCTCCGAGCTTTGTCAAATACAGATAGGTCATGTGGTAGTTTACAGAAATTTCAGTCTCCAGCATTTTTCTCTAACCCCATCCCCGTCCCACAACCGAGGGGACATTTAAACTAACTAGCTGCTTTCCAGGGCTTTGCAGAAAAGTCTGTGCTTTTGCAAGGGTCCCTCTGTTGAATGTGAGCTGTATAGGAGCCGTATCAAGCGGGACGAAGGGAATAACGCTTAGTGAAGGTGGTCAGTAGACATGCTAAATATCTTGCATAGTGACTGGTTATTACCAGCCCAGACACCAATTCTTTCTCTAGTATAAATGATCTTAGCCGGGGAGAAGGAGTTGCTCTTTACAGTTCCTACATTCAAAGCCATGTACTGGTAACGCACAAGGGGTATCAGGCTTTATTTTTCCATGAAGTGGTTTAGAGGCAGGTTCTCGTTTTCCTTTAGCCTGTTCTGTGGATTATAATGGAGTTTTCGGGGTCTAACTGGATGGCTATAGATCAGAACAGTACAAAATAGTTACGTGTGCTCCCTGATCGCTTTCCTTTAGTTTTGTTGCGATCAGGACTCTGAGCAGTCTTTGTATAGATTGAAAATGTTATTACAGCCAAAGGAGCATTAAGCATAATAGGTGATGATAAGCACCAGTCCAGCCTTTAAATCAGCCTCAGCATACAGGCATATCCCATTCAATTCAGTGTTTCTATGACCACTGAGGTCGCCTAACTACAGTGTGTAATTCAAAACAACAACAAAACCCACCCAGAGAGGAGGTACTTAAAGGTGTAATTTCTGAGTTACTTTTCCTGTGCACAGCTCCGTTTGAAATGGTAAATAATAAGTGGATTATACTGGGCAGAAGGTTATCTGCTTCTTACATTCAAAAATAAAGGTGCTTTTCAGCTCCCATTTATTGACTTCAGTGGGGCCAGGATTTCCCCCGGTGAGTTTTGCTACTGACTATATATGGAATAGGATCTGGCTCTAAACCTTTTATTTTAGTTTATTACTAATCACAAGAGGTCCCCACAATCAAAACGCTTAAATAGAGGTCACATTGTTCCGTCAGCTCCACACTAAATATCTTCTTTTAGCAGGAATTAATCCTTATCAAATTAATTCCCCGCCTTCGCTCAATGCATAACCCAGCAGAGATAACAGGCACACTCATTGATTAGGTTCGGGTTGTTTTTTAAAAACTCTCAATTGCTCTGGTTATGTTGAATGCCATTTTAAAACAAACAAACAAACAAACAAACAAGAAGCGCTATTATAATAAGCTCATTCGGGGCCTGATCCAAAGCGAAGTGAAGTCAATGGGCGTCGTTCCATCGACTTCAATGGGGTTCAGATCAGACTTGAAGTAGCCTGACATGCAACGAAGCCATCTTTGTCTCTTTCTCAGCAGCACGTCAGAAGGGGTTGTTTGGCCCCGCTTAGAAATGAATTTTCAGGGCTAGTGAATTGTCTGTGACTGTCACTGTACCAGGCGTTAGTGAAAGGATGCCGACACGAATTGAAAGACCAACTTCAGCCTTCCTGACCTGGTTCGCTGCTCTTAGGCTATGGGTTTCGGTGGGGTTGGGGGAGGGGTTCATTCCTGGAAATGAATGAAGGTTTGGAGCCTCACACAGCTCAGTCCTTGCACTCGTGTTTTGTTTTGTTTAGGTTACCATGGCTCACACAACTAACTGCACGCGCAAAAGGAACGGAGTGTATGTTGAATGTGAAAGCGGCTTGTATAATTTATGACGTTTTAAACTGCGGGCCAAGGAAAAGGACGGCTTATGCCAAAGTGTCTCTCTCTTAGATTGCTGGTGCTTGTACAAACACTGTAAAAATGCCAACACTATAGACAAGGTAACATTACTTCCCATAATTAGGTTGTGACCATGGGGGTCTATCGCAGTTACATCAGATTTGCCTCTACCAGAATAAGCCAGAAGAAACGGAATTTATTTATCACATGACCCATCTCCCTCCCCACCTCCCACACACAAAAGTCAGAACATTCGGAGAACGAGATTTGCAAGCGTTGCCCCCAGGATATACAAAGATGTGATATACCAGCGCTCATCGGTAACATTGTGTTTTTATTCTAAAGCAATTTCTTCAACCCCCTTTTTTAAGGGGAAGTGTATTTATAATAATTTCCCTGGTAACATGAATTTTAAATGAACTAATAATAATATAACCCAACCCAGACACTATGTGATGTCTAGCCCATAAAACATTAAACAGCAGACAACATTTGGATTGTAGACATCCGCAGACTCAGAAGATGCACGTTGAGTAACATAAGATACTATAAAATGCCAACTGGAATACACTGATTATGCATTTTTTATTTATAGGCGGATGAAGTGAAATATACTTTCGTCTGAAGAACATAAAACTAAGCTACATGTACCAGTTCAGTTTTTGATCTATTCCCTGCAAACTGTAACACAAAGCATCGTATTTGTATAATTCACGAATAGAGTTTATTACTATTTATCTTATTGGTTATTTATTTAAAACATTAATAGCTTAACGCTGACGAAATAATCGATGAGTGTCATAGAAAACAATGGTAGGTCTCGAAGTGGTTAAAATATGTCTTCGATCAAAGTAGTTTATTCTGTTTTGTTTACAGATCTACAACACGTATATTCAAATTTGCTGGGGTAAAAGTTGAAACTTAACAAAAGGATACACTTCTTTTCTCAGTGTAAGTGACATTTAAAAAATAACACAGAGGAAAAACTAAATAATATTTCGAAGCATTGTTGTCCAGCGAAACACAAGGATCAGAAAATAAAGATTTCCCGTGTTGACCAGAACTCCAGGAGTTAAATATTTCTCACACTAGGAATTCCAGGTCTTGTCATCAGGGGATGGCGCAGGGGCGGCAGTTACTTGTCAAACTAAAAAGTGATGCGTCGGGACGATTTTGCTGGGAATACAGAAGATCTGAATCTTAACTGAGCATTTTTAAACGCGATAAGAATCATGTCTTCCTGGAAGGACATGTCTGGTTACTAACATTGCTAATACCATTTCTACGTTTACAAAATCGTTGTAAATCCGGCAAGATTATGTAAATAAAAAGGAGGAAACAAGATGTTTGTTTCTTTCATGAAATATTCTGTTAATTATGGCAGTAAGATTTGTTTTCACAAGGAATGTATCAATGTCTGTTACAGAAGATTACATGGATGGAGATAACTTTCCTAACTAAAAGCTATCGTGATCATCTCGGAATAGTTTATTTACCTACACTGTACCTCAGTTTCTACACTTAGCGGCTTCCTTTCATTTGTATATATTTGATTGTCAATTTTCTTTCATTTTTTTAATGCGCGAAATTAAGTTCGGGCTTCCAATAATGTCTAAAAAATTGATTTATGGTTAGTATAAAGACAACAGTATAAATAACAAAGGAGACGGGCAGCTGCAGCTCGGATTGCTATGGAAACCCTAATTAAATTATCACTATTAGATGGTTTCTAATTTTTTTTTTGCATTCTAAGCTTTTTCTATTTCAGATAGCTAGAATGTAATACCAACAAAATAGCCCACCGAATTAATGTGTGCAAGAGATAGCTAATCAATAAATAAATGCCAACCTC